GTATATTTGCTAATTTCGTGCAATTTGGTTTCAAGTAGAACATAAGGTTGGCGGAAACCCGGGGACTGCGCCTACCTGAAACCGGTCATGGGCTGTCAATAGATAGGTGACAAGTTACAATCCTGGGACAGCGTGGCTGGGTTGGGTGACGTAAGTTTTATCTAACCAGCGTTTGTGAGCTGACGTAAGCCTGCCCAGATGGCACTTACTTTGACAACGGTGCCGCGTGTCATCATTCACATATCCCTGTGCTTACAGATAGCGACTACCGCTATCAAAACTGACCGTTTGATTCTCATCCCAAGCTTGAAGAGGGATGGACGTATGATGCTGTACTTTGTCCACTTTACCAGCACGAGTGTTCCCATTTGATTTCCATCGAATTGGGATGATTTCGCCACTTCCGCCAGTCCCTGGGAATGTAACATTCGACCGAATGACAACGTTCAACCTTCTAGGTAAAAGACGAATGAAAGTTTTCTGTGATTCTCTTCCGTCTTGCACTGCACCCAGACTCCCCTCTTCGGAAATTTTTCAACCTATCGCCCAACACGATTTTGGTCTTATGTGCCACACTGACTCAGAAAGTTAAACCACCTAGTTTGGCTCTACGTGTTATTTTTGGTGCGCATTACTGAGCTGAGTAAAGGTGTATACTAGATAAGGCAAAGGTTTCATGTAACATCTGTTCTGAAGTAGTTTATCCGATATCCTTTGAAACCTGGGTTCAAAGGTGGATCTTACTGATCTGGCCAACGTTGTGAGCACTGTGAAGTATTATGGGGTGACTGATTTGATGACAACTGACTTGGATGTCAATCGATTGGCTCAGATCCTTAGCGGGAAACTTTACGAAACGCGAAGCGTTCTGTTACGTCAAAGTTAAAATCCGGATCGTCTACCTCAGTCGAACAACATTAAATGATATCACCTAATTTATGCAGGGCCGTTGAGGTTATTAATTGATAGGTTATTCTGTCGGCAGAAAACAATACAGTCCTATAAGTTTTCCCTTGCTGCTTTCCGAAAGTGCATGGATTGGTAACGGAAATAGCAGTTTACTATTGCAGACTACCCGGGATCATGGTGTCATTCTCAAAGGCGAAAACGGTTAAATGCTAACCTCTTGAAATTCTCAAAGATGGTCTACCAACAGGTAGCGAAATTAGACGCGTTATCTAGGATCATTGATTTCTATAAAGATTTCCACGTAGTAGATATTCAAAATTCCTCACTGAATGGCTCACTTCATCACAATCAAAAAGGTGACAGAAGTCTGCCTCGATTTGCAATTTTAGGAAAATATGTCAGGCGAAGAAGTAAGTGGATCACCAGAAGTGTATTAAAACGTCCGTCTCAGCAGTTTGATATATATATATATATAGTATTACTAATTACCACGCTGATTTTGCAGTTCGCGTACTCATTTCACTATGAAACTTCTGGTCTGTGGATATCTGGATACTGTCTTACGACCTTCTACTTAAATGATTCTCGTTTTATGTCCAGCTCGCGAGATTCAACTTTTTCCAACTTTCCAACTTTTTGGAAATATTCATGACCAAACCAAATCGAAATGCTTTTGAATCAACTGCTATAGTCGACCGCTGCAATTCCGCCTCGGTGTGCGAAAATAGGGCACAGTGGTCCACAGACTACAGCACACGAATGGCAACATTTCAGTTAGCGCGAGCTTCAAACTGAATAAACCACCCTCCGAACGATTTAAACTTGATGCAACAGCTTCAAAACCGCGGAACTCCTCCGCGCAGATGATTGGTATATAGAAGCTGAACAACGCTTTACAATGATATCGATTTCAGACTCGCTTGAGATAAATCAGGCCTTGGTGAAGTTTACAAAAAGACCACAGAGCTGCTGATCCTATTCAACATATTTTTGCTTGACTTTTATAGAAAATAATCCAGCCATTCTTTGATAGCTCCGAAATTCATAGTGATCTGCGAAAACGTTGTTTCTACAATATAAGTAGCCAGCAGACTTAGGTGATTACGGGCTAAAACTACGGTTGCACACAAAGCTTATAACGTAGCGGCTGTTCATCTCCCCCTTTTATTGTCACATCACTGAGACCTTGGAGAACGACTTACATCTTTATGGATGTGTGGAAGTTCATTCCGTGGCATCAGTATTCCAACCTCTAACAACTGCTACAATTTTGCAGGTAGTATATGTTTCTCCTGCATCTGTATGTAATTGAGCCAAGTGGGTCATCATTGTAGGTTGGGACAGTTAAGCTGCATAGGTTAAATCAGCATCACCTGGTCGAATGAATAATGTTGAAAGGCGAAAGGAGTGAAATGTGCTATTCAAAAATATAACATTGCAGACACAGACGTTATCAACCCCAACTGAATAAACGTCAAAACTGACATACGTTGCAATCTGGAGACCGAATGTCTAGCATTTTAACACAAAATAAGAACGCAAGAGACTGTTGAAAATAGTTTGTGTAGAAGATAAACAGTAACAACGCATGATGAGTCGCGATGAAATGTTGTTTGTTATGTTCTACACAAGAAATTTGTTTAGCCGTTTTCACATTTGCTATCAGTGGCCGTCCCTTGTGTTAGGCCAACCAATTCACACGACTTGTTCCAAAGCCACTCCCCGTCGGCATCATTCAAAGCGTTACTTGCTGGACTGGTTTCTGTGCAGTTGTCGTAATAGGCGCCAGGAGTTAGATTTGGCGTTAGAACAGTGTACAGTGTGGTCTGACAACCCATCCAGGGGGTAGTTGTAAACGGCAAGATCAGGTAATGAATCATTCTCTGTAGAGAGAAATGAAATAACCGAGAGACTTAGAAAGCGTCCTTGCATATCTTAGTTTGAACGCAGCAAAGGAATTTACGATTATAGCCAGGTCAGACACAGCGTGTTCATCAACACGCCATGGTCTCACATGTAAGCGATAAAATAATTTGATACACATCAAAAATTCTCTCGGACCGCCCATCACATAAAGCATTACTCAACTAGGCCAGATTAAACCCCAACACATATGGAAGTCTGACCAACTGGTAGGTCGTCGTTGACTCCTTCCTCAAGCCTGGCAATTAGCTTGCGAAGTTTTCGTCTCCCATAGAAGCGGCATCACGAGTGCGCATATGAGGGCTTACGCCTACTTTCCTCTTTGTGGCTACGTAGTTTTCAAGGAATAACAGATGTATGTCTTGAACGATAGATCCAGTTGAGTCTCCCATGAAAACCGAATTGATATGCGAATGAGTGTATCTGTCGAAACTAATCCTATACAAAGGAATAACAGATGTATGTCTTGAACGATAGATCCAGTTGAGTCTCCCATGAAAACCGAATTGATATGCGAATGAGTGTATCTGTCGAAACTAATATCACCTATACAAAGTGTAAGAGCACAAGCAGGTGCAGAGGAACTGACCACCCAACGATGCATCGATTTTGCCTGATAGTGCCTGCAGGTTACTTTTCAGTGACCGCCTGTTCAACCACCAGTATAAGCAACCGAGCTACCAATATTTCCACACATTACCAGATTAGTTAACTAAAAGATGAGACTTCCGTCTGGTGGGAGGGAGTATAAATTAACCGAGCTACCAATATTTCCACACATTACCAGATTAGTTAACTAAAAGATGAGACTTCCGTCTGGTGGGAGGCCTAGGAGTATAAATTTGAGATCGGAAAGCGTGAATCATTGGTGTTGTGCTTTCGATGATGATGATGATGAAGGGGCGTTCATTAGGTGAGCATGGTTTTAGTGAGCGACTGACGAAGACAGCGAAAAACGTCGGAAAACATTCACAGTATGAATTTTCCAACAAGCATCAATGACCTTGCTCACTACAACTTCGGTCCAGATATATTTGTCCCTACCCAAAATAACCGACCAAGGAACCTGGGTAGAGTACATGGAAAACAACCTAATGGGGCTATACAGATATTAGCAAGTGTATACATAAAGAGTGTGCGAACAGAATGTTTCCGCGGCTTCATAACATAACAAGATAGATGTCAAACCATACATCTCTCAAACGAATGAATGCTGGAATCAACTATGGTTACTTGACAAGGTCACGCCCAGATATTTCACATGCAGACATCTTTGAGAAAGGGACATTCTGATCAAAATGGACTACTGTAACGCAGATCCGAGGAGGGGTTCTGGCAATTAGAACTACTGTAGGTGGCGATGTGCTCGCCTGATCAAACAGACTCCAACTGACTGCACGCAATCTATAGCCCAGACAATAACTATGTCACCAGCTAATCATGAATAGATGAATAATCAGGGCATGTCTCTTTCGCACAAAGAGATTGACACATGGGAAACAAGACACAATGAGGGTACCGTTGTCCGTTGGCAATGGAGAACGAAATCGGACAGCCATGTCTATGAATGATATATGGTTTGTAGATTCACTTACACTTAGTCTGTGCAGGTCCAATTAGTCTCTTGATTCAGCAAAAAGTGTAGTCAAAAGTCTAGTGTCAGGCTTTAACTTTTGTCTTCTAGTGTTGAAGTGACGGTGTGAAATAGATGAGTGGCAGCGTCTGTTGTATAGTGAGATTAACAATACTTATGTCCATAAAAGGCAACTTCCACTTGGTCTGAAATTACTCGGAATAACAAAAATACCAACGATTAACGTGAAAAATGTCATCACCTTTCAACTGCAAGTGATCAGAAAATTTTCAAACCGAAAATTAGTTGTTTGTCGGTTAATTCTAAATATCAGCACACTCCTTGAGCAGCATGGTTAAAAAGTGTACTCTGGCTTCACTTGCCTCGTGTTTCATTCCGTTTCCTCTTATATCGTGCTATGCGCGACAACACAACCATGAAAGCGGATGCAGCTCATGGAGCTACAAACTCTCGGCTGATTTTCTGGAGGCCATGGCTCGTAGCAAGTCACTTTAAACAACCCCCCCCCCCCCCTGCTACAGGGCCAACCACATTTCAAAACAGCACTTATTTTCGAGGAATTCCTTCACACGGATTTTATTGAGGTGATTGAATTCCAGTCTGACTGCATTCGTAAGCTCCCTGGCCATCTAGATTTTGAGTTTACTGCTTCTCCATCCGTATCTGCTCAACTAGTGAAGCAAATGGTCTCTGGTCGATGATGTGGATGGTCTCAGCAGGGCAATATCAGTGAAAGCGACAGTGAGGATGGTCAGTGAGTTGCTGAAAATACGTTCAAGGATGAGGGCCAGAAAAACAGAAACGCCGGTGATTAAAATCAGGTTTATCAGTGGGGCGTCATCTAGTGAACAGCTTAAAAAGTCTCTCTCTCCGTCCACAATGTTATCCAGAGCATGTTGGAAAAAGGGTAATCAACTACCTCCTCTTTAACAAATACACTCACTAGCAAATCAATTTGGTTATTGTGGGAGATTTACCTGGAACCCAGCTAAATTTCTTGTTTATGGTGTTTCTAAGCAACTGAGCGTGCTGCACCAAGACACTTCATGTTTCAGTTGATACGATATTAGAAGTATCGTAATGCATTGTATAAAGACGTGGCGCATTTTTCATAAGTTTGCTGAAAACTCTCCGACAGCCCACGTCCGGTTTCATTCTTTAGTGGGGCTCATCTGATGGACACACTCCCTGAGTTTCTGTCAACAGTATGTTTTGCTTGAATCCAAGTTAGAGAACGTCACAAAGGATAGATTCAGGTGGGATTCAGGTGAACCTGTCAGGAGAACCAAAATGAATAAGCAAATGGGAGCATTCTTTGAAGTTCGTTCAAGTAGAACTCAAAGCTGGCAGAAAATCGGGTCTGTGCTTAATTGACGAGCCACACCAGTGGCGCGTGAATTTGGGAGTTTTCAGCAACCGAATGAGCGGTGCGTTATATTTAGAGTCATCAGCCTGTAGGTGGATGGTATAACTGTTTTGAAGCACTTCAGCTCTATTATGTAGTGTTTACGGAAATGAAGGTCGGATAAGTGTACGGAATTTCTGGTGTAGTTCACTGCAGGGCATTCCTTCTGTATATCCGGGCCAAAAGTACATCCATCCAGCTGGCAAGGTGTTTTTTAGTGACTATAACATGTACTAAATGCATTTTTTAAACGATTCCCTAATCATTGAGTAAACTCCTTTATGAAGCGTGCGAGAGAACACTTTGATTGACGATACTTGTGCTCAAAACGATTAAGCCAAAGTGTAGCGTGAATCTCTCTGTTGTGAATTTGTGAAAACAAACTCCAAAGTTGGGGGTCGTATTCCGTTTGAGGGTCGCACCAACATTCATTGCAATGCAATGTGAGGAAAAAAGAGTACGAAGAGCAACGCCTTCCAAAAGCTGTGGACATTAGTCAATAAGTTACATATTTTAATGAGCAAAATAAGCTACCACTCAAACTGACCGTTCTGTGCTGACGAAAGTAACATACAGCGCGACACGGAAAATTGGCGATCAGTGTTACGTAGTCTAATTCGCACTACATTACCTGTTTTTGCTCTCCAAAGAAGATACACATCCGGCGGTTTACCACAACTTGTTCGTAAATGTCAAACGGAAGTCTCAACCTAAACACTATCGGTAGCAAACCGCTTTCATTTGCTGAACCTCCTGCTAGTACCATTATTAAACGCTCTCACAAAATCTAATTGGTGCACGGTTGTCGATGCAAAAACTCGTTCTAATACTAATCAGCACTGTTGACCGCACATTTTTATTTCAGTTTATCAGTATTAACAGCTCAGATATAGCATCCTTTCGGACCGTAGTTATCGTGCTACTTGGAGGAAGCATAACTGAAACAACGTCAGGTTTCCGAATCCTAGGAGGGAGCAGATGAGATGAGGGGTTAGAGTGGAACCACAGACCTACCGGTCGGTGTTTTTGTGCCTTAACTAATCTGCGATCTCGATGCCTGGTTGAATAGTAATCACAATACTATTGATAGTGATAAAAATGTATAATGTAGTGCATTACCGGCGTAACGGCGGATACTACTGATGAGACGTGCGAGTAGCCTGTGGTTTTCTTGACGTACCGACCCGCGTCTAATGAAAGGTAAATTTTATTACGGAACTTGTGAACTGCTTTGTGGCGTCTGTTCAAAATTGCGTGAAGGTCAGTGAATATCTGTGAAAGTTCAAGAAGACGCATGAGAATATTCAGTTTTTAAAAACTGTGTGCAATAGTTTGTAACTGTTTAGTTGGTATTTGCTAGTAAACGACTTCGCAGTGAAGGGCTTTCCTCCTTATAATGGTATATTCATACTCAAAGCAGGGGGTGTGAAGATTTCCCAGCCAACAAAAAAATTGAAGCATATTTGTTCGAGCGTCTGAGCGTGTAAGACTTGTTTTACTGTGCAATCTTAAATAAACCTTGTTTGGGATATGTCACGCTGGAAGTTTCGGGAACACAAAATTGTGGTCAACCGCTGCCATTTAGTTGGTTTACTGCCGCAGTCTGAAATGCCATATCACCAACAAGGGAGAGCCGAAAATTCACTGCGAATGCTCTGCTGATTAGTTTTCTGCGCAGTAGTTTGCGACAGCAGATTTTTTGAACCAAATGAATTTTCCTTGGCTGTATTCAGAGGACGAGTATGAAAACGCGCATACAGTCACGTCAGAAATTTTGCAATGGGGTGAGCTGAAACTCGTGATTCTGATTAGCTCACATCCTGGGGAACCAGGATATAGTAAGCCAGTCCATAAACCATATTCGATCCTCATGCATTTGACATGATTATCAGTTATTCCAAGTGGCACGAACAAAGGAACTATTCATGGCATGCTTCTTTAAAGTGAGAACGTGCCTGAAAGGGGTTTTGTTTACGGAACCGTGTTCAGTCTCTTACCGACTGAGCAACACTGCAAACACAATGACGTTCTCTCCGGTACTGGATTTTCTATTTTTGGCACCAACTACCTGTAAGTGCAGCATAACACTGAGTAGAAACTTAGGGTGCGGCATAGCACTGAGTAGAAACTTTGGGTGTGTCATACCGCGATACCTTATTGACGACTTGGGTTGTGTTATCTCGGTATGCTTGAAGCATGTTTGCTTATATGTATGCGTGTGAGCCGTGCTTGTCTAGCCCGTGCAAACGGAGTCAAGTTGTGGAACAGTCCGCAACGGATCACGTACGACAAGGGTGCACGGTAGGCGTTTCAATCATTCCAGACTCGATTACCACATTTTTAGCAGAACGTCGAACGGCAGCTTCATTAACATCATTCCACAATCACCAGATCAAAGGTCGTGAAAACTGTTTTTCGTGATACAGCTTGTCTGAGTTTCGCAGATATTTGAAGCTTTAAATTCACCCACCCGATTAATTCAGTAGCAGTTTGTGTGACATCTTGGCAAACCTTGCTTGATTTAACGTAGAGGAAAAGTAGACTTGTAAAATTCTGAATGGAAACCCATTAAATCATGGGGGAAACGATATTCTCAAAAAGGACTCAGACGTGAGACCTTCTATTCAAAGTGGTTCACAGACTGGGTGTCATTCTCATGTCATACAGCCGGCTAAATGAATTAGAGAAAGCTCTGATTAATCAGTGTGGGACGTAATTGCGCATCTGAGATTTGTGAACATAGCCTAGACTTGAGGCAGCGTCATATGACGTGGGGAACATGAGAAACACGTTGAAATACCTTTTAATTCGAAAGAAATTCCCTAAGCTGACGGCGCACAGGTCTGACCTACGAATACTTACACTCTTCATTGTTCGAGCATCACGAAAAAGTTCTGTTCTTACGGCACCGGGATGCAAGCTAACAGGTATGACTCCACTTCCAGAGAGCCGCTTCGCCAATTCCCTTGCATGTATCAAGTTGGCAAGCTTCGACTGAGCATACGCTGATAGAAGCCCATATTCTTCAGGTGCGGTTTGTAAATCGGGCTTGCGAAGCTCACCATACCGATGAACAATTGACGACACCATGATGATCCTTGAGGGAACACCTTTGCGCAATAAGGGCATCAACAGCTCGGTTAGTAGGAATGGTCCCAGGTGATTCACAGCAATTGTATGCTCATAGCCATCTTCGGTCGTGCAGTGATCTTCCATAGCCAGTCCAGCATTATTGATCAAGTAATTTAGGTGTTCACGACGCTGTCCGATGCGGGTCGCAAACTCACGTACAGATTTCAGTGACGCTAGATCCAGTAATTCTATCTGTAGCTGAAATATAAGATGAAATACGAAACTAAAACGATGGTGACGGAAAAAGTCTTCAAAAATAGTTATTCAGACAGGCTGAATTGGATACCTCAGTTGTTTAGCGGGCATAATTCGCACAGAAAAGTTTTCAGCATAGGACTACGTTTATGTCCTTATTCAAAGTGTCAAGCAAAGTTTTCTTGGTAGATTATCAGAGGAACTTGTCGCGCTCAGTTTAAGTGTAGAAGAGCTTCGTAGAATGTCCAGTAGTGATTTTGGCTATCAGAAACTATGTTGGACGCTATTTTAATGTGTGAAAGTTCTTCCGTAACACTGTGATACAGTAAAATAGAGCTGACTTTTATAAACTTTGATAGAATGTTGATCAGTTTTGCTGTGTGCTTTCATCCATCAACTCAGTCCTAGTAACGAGGATTCATTGTTTGGATGAACATCTCGAACGATTCCACAAAAGCCTTTTTTCACTGGGGATTTTGAAAATGCTATACGGATGGTCCATTTTTGGGAACCCCGGAAATGTCCACGGCTTTCCGTCAGAACAAATTACTTGGAATTTGCACATAAGCACCGAACTCCAGAAGGGGAGGCACGATAGGAGAAGTAACTCAGAACGCATTTAACGACACGTAACTGAAAGAATAAGCTCCACAGCAGGGCCCTTCTACGTAAGGGTAGAAGGTTGTGGTTTAACACTGACAATTGAGGTTCCTCCTCGTTAACATCTACCACTTTTCAAACCCGGAATTTCGTTCAACCTTTCAAAGTGATGAATCGACTTTTTTATATTTAAGAATGGTTTCGGCGAATGTTTTGCAAATGTTCGAATCCAATAGGATAATAAACTCTTGTTGAGCCTTTTGATACTTTAGGTGACAGTACTATTTGGGATTATCTTCTTTTGTGAGGGAACCTGTGGCGTCCTCATCTTCTCAGGTTTTCTGTTCGTTTCCGTTCGTTCCGCAGCCCGGAACCTACACGTGTTAGCAAACATATAGTCAGGAGCACAAACCCGTGTTGTTATTGCATCCTAACCATACTTGCGGATCTAGGCATCGGACAATACTGGCCGAATTATTTTAGGAATATGCTAGAATACGAAATTAGGCTTGTAAGTATCCAGTAAACATACGAATATAATAGCCTGTTGAACTAACACAAACTAATTTGCGTGCATGAATATGCCTACAGTAGGAAGCTTTAAGGGGTACGTTTGTAGCCTGCTGTATTTTGGTTCTCATGTAGGTGTCCTACTGAGAGACAGAAATAACAGATGCCATTCGGTTACAATACGGTTTGATGTTGTTTCGAGAGCTCATAACAAAAGACATTGGCCTACGTAAACCGTCTAGAGTGGACGTTTTCCTGTCATTCAGTCTAAGGTACAAGGATGAATTTTCTGAGTATTCCAGGTTATTGATTGGGTCTGCTTAGTCCAGATTCAGTAAGTATAACGTACTTACTAAATAACTGCGAACTACTTGGTGATCTTGGCGTCCCTTATGTGTAGATTTGTGCGACACACAGCTGTAATATACGGAATCAGTCTTGAGTAGCTTACTTGATCCGGCGTGACCGCTGTCAAAGAAGATGTCAAGCATGGATCAGCCAAGTTGGTTTTCAAGTGATCTGGGTTGCCAACACCATACGTATCCAAAATCCACTTTTTGGCGCTTTCTGCCCGCTCTTTGTTTCGACAAGCCATAATAACCTGGCACCCTCGACGCGCCAATTCGGCTGCGGTCATTTTTCCAATCCCCGTATTCGCACCAGTGACGATGGCGACTTTGCCAACTAATCTTCCCGGGATCACGCATAATTTTCGCATGAAACCCTTTGTCTCTCGAACGGGTTTCTCGTTGACTGACATGGCGCTTTTCACAATGATGGTAGTCCCAAAAATAACGCACGAATTGGTGTATAAAACAGAGAGGTTTTGTTGAAAGACATACAGACACGTACACTTGCCGAGGGTCAAGGCAACCAATCGTATCTATAGTTTGTCTGACGGCACCACGGACTGATGACATTAACACACCTATAATTAGACTACGGCATCTGGTTGCATTCATGCAATGAGTGTTCTGTCAAAACAAGGTAGAGACTACTGTCGTGAAGGTACCAGAGAGGAAACATAGAGAAAACAGTGTTACTGAAAAAATCATTTAGTCAATAATCGGGTGGTGCGAAACTAAGTAGCCGACGTTCATGATTGGACTGCAAATTTCTGAAAACGATTCTTTGATAATTCCTTTTTATCAGAGTTCGGGATGACACTGCCGAAATATAATTATAAAACCTAGACTGTATGTCATCGTTTTCGAAGAAGTTTGGTGACAATCGGCAGATTTATTGCTGGGCAACGTTTCACTTTTGACACAAAACTTCGTCAGGCCAAGTGACTAGGTTCCGAGGTTGGTCGATATTTAAGGCGGAAGGAGAACCAATCAGCTAAGTCAAGCTAAATCTCTGTTGGGTGTCGGCCGAGGGATTTTAGTGTGTTAGAGTGGTTGAACAAGTGTTGGGTCGGTGGGGAAACCTACATGTGTTTGGGTCCTGCCTAGGGTCTAGTTCTTCTGGTTCGGTTCATTTGATGGTTCCTCTTGAACTTCGTTTGAACCTTCTGTTAGTCTGTGTGGGTGAGCTAGTGCTAAGAAAGTTGTGTAGGAGGGATGCTGTGACCTTTGGTCGGTTGGGGTTTCCACCCCTACCCCCCGGTTTTTTCTAATGATCCTAAGTGGATTGACAACCACACCGTCACGTATCAACTCGGCTTATCTAAGACCGCCTTCCATACGCTCGCTAGCTCCACACCCTCGATTCTATTCAAGCTGTGATGCTTGATAATTTCCACCGCCTCGGCTATCAGCCGCTATGGTGTGAATCGCAGTCCCCGTCTTAAAACTTCCACATTCTCCAGATCTATTCTATGTCCCGTGTCTAAGGTTGTATGTCAATATTCCATCCAAACATCTAAACACCCTTGTGTGAAGTAAGTTAGCGTCGACGAGGGACGCAGCTGAACGCCTTGTTTACAGTATTCTCCAACCGGATTTGCTGAACAAAAGTCACCTAGTGTTACACCTGGGACGAGCTACAAGTTGTGGAGCTATTCCCATTGATATAACATACAGTCTATATAAGAGAGATTCGACTGAAATTTCGTCGAGATTTCTCGTCGAAAAATCTTAATTTACAGGTGAGTGCTTATCTGCATGTTCGTTCAGCTTGGTATCCAAGCATTAAATATAACTCATAGGAACTAAGGGATCGGATATACCTGATCATCTACAAAACAGACGAAATCCGTAACGTCCTGGCAAAAAATGTTTTAGCACATTTATAATCGTCTGTTTTTGTTTTGGAATGTGCATGCGGAATTTGAGTGTGATAGAGATCTACATGGCATTCATTGCTGGATGCGATAAAATCTTTACAAACTTGAAAGATAGTAAAAATATTGTCAAGAATATCAAAATTTATTTTAAAAAATGTCCGAACTATTGCGAAGTTCGTAATTTGCCCGTAGAGGGACGTGCTTCTATAAACACAGACGAAAATGCCGTGTAGCTGGGGTGGCGTTTCCTGCAACTGTAAGCCAGTCCTCTAACCTAAAGTGCGGAAAAACTGTGTGATTACTAGTGGTGAGGATTATGGGCTAATAAATTTGATTGAAATTGCCCAATGTTGATTGAATTATATTGGTGGGGCATAGTTACATCTACCTCTTATGATATACGTTAGGGTCCTGTCGGAAAGTGGTGTGATGCTGCGGGCTAGGTTTGCTCTCAAAGAGGAACTGGTGTCTGGTTTGGACATCACTACGGTGGAGAACCGCACTGGGACACAAGCTCTAAACGGACACAAATCTAAAAATGCTGAAAAAACTGAGCCTCATTTTTTCTGACACTGGTTCTTCCAAAAGATGAAGATGAGTTTTTCATTCTTGAAAAGGGTTTTATTCACACTAAAATAAATGTTGATGAACGTATGTGTTTCTATTGTCAGAATGATGTCAGAGTCGAATGGCGAATGACAAATGGACAATCTGACGCATAAGGAAGAGTGACACCAACCAGAAACCAGAGTGAATAAACCGTCAAAAAAGTGCGTTTGTTGAAGCTGAATTCAATGTGTGCTGCACGAGTATGACTATACTAGGGACGGATGTTACCAACATCATCAAAAACCTATTTCTGGGCCAAAAATCTGTACTGGTAAAGTGGTTTGAATCAACTGTCTCACTCGCGAATCTTGTGGGACGGATCTCACTCGTTCGACAAAGTCAGGTAGGCAGCCTTTTTGCTAGAGTTATTCAGTGCCTAGTGAAACGGGACTGCTAACTGTTTCATAGAGATTTGGTAAACAATCGGTGGATTTATTATGTATCAAGCCTCTCTGAAACGATGTCTTCCCAGTCGGTACCAAACATCTTCCAAGGGACTGCTTACCAATTAAGACGGGTAGTCCAACGCAGTGGCGCTGTCTGTGTCGCAGCCAGTAGGCGCGAATCCATCTATTTTAGTTATAACAAGGTGACGCCGAAACCACCTAAAATTTAGTTTATCAGAAAGTGAACCAGGAAATTAGACGGGGCAGAGTTTGGAAGGAAGCTGCGCAGAATTGTGACCAACACAGAACGGCACATGATATCTTTCCCAGGAGTTGAATAAACCCGTTGGAAGAACCTGAACTACTCATTTTCGGTGACTTGTTCTGTAAAAGTGGAAACGCAATTGCATTTCTCACCAAAGACCACTGCCTTGTGGTTAGATTTTTGGGCGAATAGCCTTGGATGAGGACCCTAATCGTACTTCTGTATAAATACGGGCGTCCCGGCAGCATCCCAGCCCACGCACAACCATTAATCGCGCACATAAGGATAATCTCATATTACATCCGGCGTCGTGTAGTGCCACCGGCCCTGTCGCTTCACTTGCTGCATACAGCAGGGCGAGTAAGTGAAAACAGGCCACCACTGACGCTCCATTTATTTCTGCTTCATATTTATTTTCTTCCCCCTCCTCCCATTATTGATTCTCTTCTTGCAGGCCCATCAATGAGAACTGATTACACCGTTCGTTGTGCATCGGTTTTGTAAAGATCATCTGCACGTCATCCGTTGCTCACCAACTCAGTCATCTCAAAATCAGTCTTCAAGCCTCCAATCCTAGTCTATCTTTCTACTTTTAAGGACCGCACTCTGAAGTAATCTCCTGCTTTTACACTAGACTCACTTGACATTAATGTGTGCTGCGTATCGGAACGAGAATTCAAGACGCGAGCACAGTGACTGAGCTAACTGCCCCATCACTCTCCATTCGATTCCGGCTGCGCACCTATGGCAACCCAGAGGCTGCTGCCGCAGGATGTACAGGGGTTGGTATCATTCCGTCACCGGTCGGATGGATACTTGCTTAATTGGATATCCGTTGATATTCACCTCTATACAATTCATCTGATAACATCTGTGAATACTAGTTTCACAAAAGAGAAATTTAACGATGTCTGATTGTCGTATCTGCATAGGCCCCATACGGAACATAAAGCTATCAACCGGGGTCCACAAAATGTGACGCGTGCGGACCAAATTCTGATATAAAACTACAACCATCAAAATGTTGTCCAAAGAGGCACACTTTCCGGCACAAGTGAATCCAAGAGCGGAGAAGGAAAGCGCCAATGTAGATTGCTCTGTGGAATTGTATAGATTATCACTTGAGAGGCAAAATTTAACCCATACAACGGCGCAGAATGCAAACAAACAAGTCACACAACTAGAACACCAGTGAAATGACGGTAGGGCGCTTGCGGCAGCAGAAGCGCTTGCTCATGTGTCCAAGGTAGAATGAACTAAGAACGTGAATATCTGGAAATGCAATAATCCACCGGAAAATCTTCCAACACACGTCAAACTAAATCCTACTAATCAAACACTAAGAGTAAGAGAACATTAGAACCACATGCATCTGATTTGCACAAGCAAATACGGGTGAAACACATGGAAGTAGCAGGAGAGCCCAAATTAGACGGCACACCAGTTTGATCAGGGTAACACCCAGTCGATAAACCAAGGTACAAACTAACCATCGGACGCAGGAATATTAATGCACATTCAAATCACTCAACACACTGTGTAATTTTGCACAATTGAACAATAACTACCACTCAAGTGTCCTATTTGGAACGCCCATATATGCAGTATATTTGGCGTTTACTAATATTCAAAACAGTGGTTTGAGTAATGTGGTACGCCCACGTGTTATGTTCTTGAATGCTGGTATCGCAAAATCACATGATGGATGCGTTATGTGATTCACTGTATCGATGACGTATGAGTCACCTCATCAGGACAGTTTATGTACATCAGATCAACTGTGCCGCTTTGATGATCAATGTGGTAAGCAGATATCTCACTGAAGGTGTATTTTCCGGAACCCATTTTATCACAGCCTACGTAAATGGCATGAAGTTCCTGACGGGTATGGTAAAGTGACATAGCTGTTTACACTGCACTACTGATACTTGTCTACCTCGGTTGAGCCTATATCGGCTCACGTTCAATCGAAAAATAAATTGCAGTCAGGAGGACATATAACCTTAGCTCTCGGTTAGATGTAGCAAATGAGCCGGACCATTTGGTACACAAGATTTCGTGGTCACATTGTCGAAGCAATTTTGCGAGAAATGTTGCCCATGAAGGTGCTGGGTGAATTAAGCCATGATGATGCGAACATTATGCAAAAATCTGATAAGGACATGTGACTGGGAAACGCAAAACGCAGCGTAAATGTCTGGAGTGTCAGTATTTCTCGCTCCAGTTTGTCCCATTTTGGTGACGTCTGTTAGAGACCGAAAACTTTTAATATTGTAAATTATTT